AGCATCCCAGCAGACAAAAACCCCCACATTTCTTTAATAAATGTAATCAATCAATTAATTAATTGATTTTATGATAGTCCAAATCTGTCATAAAACATCCTTTCTATCAGGTGTTGATGAAACTCCTATTTACTTAATCTTAAATTTGTGGGACATTAGAAGATGCTGTATTGGCACAGAAATATGTCAGTGGTATAAAGTACAACCTTCACTGCAGGCTACTGCCTTACTGAAAAAAAAATTGTAGGTACTGGTTTTAAGGGCAGCTTTGATGTCCTCAGATATTACACTTTATATAGTTGACAGATGGCTGCTGTACCCTAGCACAGAGAGCTGCCTCTCAGAAATGCTCTCGGCTACATACATCAAGAATATATAAAAAAATGAGTTTCTAGTGATTTTCAGGTGAATGAATTTGAACTTTCTCTTAAAGTTAAGCAATTTAAAATCATCCATGACATTATTACAGCAGGTTCCATATCTTCAGTGGAATCAGTAAATTGTCAGAATTTGTCTTTTTTCTTCGCTTTTTCCTTTCTTGGTTAGAAGAAAAAGATCCTAGTCCTGCATTTGAGAACAACTGGCTGCTTTCAGTTTTTTATGAAATGTGAAAAAGCAGTTTCACATTCACTTCAGAGCTCCACACCAGCAGCAGAGAGGGGCAGCAGCTCCCATGTCCCTGCCATGTCAGAGACTTTGCAAAGGCATCTTAAGACCTCAGGTTTTGGCTGAGGAGGAGAGATGTTACTACATCCAGCTGAAGATGAGAAGTTTTAAACAGAATGGAAATGGGTGAAGAGAAGTTTTTGAAAGACATAACAAGAAATTTGCAGAGAGCTGACTGAAACCTTTCTCCTCACACCCAAAGTGAGCTTCCTCACCCTGTCCATTTCCATACACACACAAAATACCCCACAGGCGTTGTGCACTCGCAAGAACGCAAAAGCCGAGGAAAATGAAATAACCCATTACATGCTTCTCCTGTCCCCAGCCACATGTTACTCTCATTGCTTCACTCAGGGTGTCCATCATTACTGCTGAACTACCCAAAGTACTCAGGGTAACTCCTGGTGCTGCAGACATCAGCTTGTGCTGGCCAGTGCAGGGGATCTCAGAACAAGTTTGGAGGGAGGGGACCCTGGTGTTGATTGCACTGCTGAAGACAACAGGCTCTGTCCTTGGGTCAACCTTTTAGATTAAGCTAAAAACTGTCTCTCTAAGGATTTAAAAAACACTTGGTTTTGTGATGGGAATGAGGGTCCCATGTCCCCTTGCACCTTCAAAAAACTTGGCATGTAACAGACAAATTTTTTAATATGATTTAAAGGACAAGAAGTAACTCTTTTCCTAGTTCATGATTGACTTTCTGAGTGAGGACAACATCTACAAAACACTTATTCTTTTCTAAGATTCCAAGCAAGACTATTTGCAGAAAATATTTTACATTGTATTTGAACACAAGGGTTAAAAACAAACAAACAAAAAAAAACACAACACACTAAACAAAAACCAAAGAATGTGTTTCATGGTTTGCCTCCCTGTTTCAGTCGGGAAGTTTGGTTTTACTACCCAGTTCTGCTTGTCAAATATTTGCAATTAATTTTTAAATAGTTAAAATTCCCGTAGATGTACTGAATGAGTTCGTGCTCAAGAAACACGTGCAGAAAGAGGAGTTATGACTTTTTAGATAAACCAATCAGTGACAAACTTTTTCTTGGCTGTGTTCTGCAGACAGCTAACTCAATTCCCTTTTGATTCTATACCACACTTTATTTTCCAGCATATCCACTTGTGAGATCAGGATCCAGACACAAATGCCAGCATAAATTAGGAGGGAGGCAAATGTCGTTCTTATCTATGTGACACAGCTTTCACATTAAGTGGAAACGTGGTTAAGGGACTCCTACCCAAGCTGCTGCAAAAACATCCTACCTTCACTGCTCCTTGCATCTTTAGTGTCAGGACAGGACCCGTCCTGCTGAGAGCACAGTGATCTCCCACTCTGACCTGGACACCATCCCGCAAAATAGCCTCCTCCAGAGCAATCTGACCAGCTGCTTCTTCTGAAGTGCCTCATTCTGTCTGTAGTCCCTTAATGTGTTCCTATAGTACCCAGTTTAAGTCATCAAAACAACATGCCTTTGAGTACACTCAATAGGCTAACTTTAAACAGCAATAGCCTACAGTATAGCCATTCAGATATTAAAACTGTAATAAGGCTGGTTTAATAAAACCAAATGCATCTCTTTTCAGAAACAAATCCAGTGCTAAACAAGGAAGAGAACAGGGAGATCAGAATTAATATTATCCTTTTCTGATATCCCTTTATTTATAAAATATTTCACACAAGGACTTGCACAGATTGGAATAATAAGAAATGTACATCTCTGCTTGGGATGCTTTTCAAAGCCATCATTTGTGAAATGTGTAACAATCACAGAATAATTGTCAGTATATACCCCTGGAAAATGAGACCAGACAGTTCAGTCACAATGTGTTTGAGAGGAAATTTCTCTAGACCAAATTTGATCATGGTGCAGACAGTGTCCGACCAATTATGGGATTTATGCTTTTAACATGCATTGTAAATTAAACTGCTTAAATAGACTCAGAGGATGAACATGAAGGATTTCTGTGCTGCTTGGCTTATCTGATTTCACAATATGTCATACAAGATAAAGCTGTATATGTACTGCAAATGCTCTAGGCAGAGCACCAGAGAGAATGGGTACATCAGATGTGCTGAATATCCTCTTATTCTCAGGGTTCTCATCCAGTGCCACTGACTGCAAGGCTCCCTCTGCCTTCATCAGTGGAAACCACTACCACCGAAGCACTAGAAATGCTCTTTTTCAGTTGATCCTCTTTCTGCATGAATTATAAATTCAAATTAGAGACTAATAAATATTTTTGTTTCCAAACAACTTTTTGAGAAATATTTTTTCTTTCTTTCCTACTCTCTCACAATCCCTTCATTTGCTCCCATTCAAAATAATTTGAGTTATGTGATAGCTACACAGAAAGTCTAAGTCTCTGTAGTAGCACACTGTGTAACATATATTAAAGAAAGTAGAAGCCTCAGACAAAAAGAGGAGAAAATAAATCTGTGAAAGAAGGCAAATCCCAAAAATATTTCAACCTTCAGCTTTTCGCAAGCTGAAAATTGTACAATAGGAAGAAAGTCTGAGGGTAAAATCTAACTACATGCTAAGGCAGCAGAAGGGCTATCTACCATTTAATTCTCAAAGGACATGACCATTTAGGTGCTAAGCCCTCCTGCTGGATCACAACGCAGAAGTGATTATCATCCTTGGAGAGCAAGCTGCAGAATGCTTCTCTGTCAGTCAATCTTGAAATGATCTCTTTCCTCTTAAAACTCATTTTCCATCCTGGCCTGCAGTCACTCGCTACCACACATTTCAGTACATGCTTATAATGCAAAGGCTGAAATGCTGCAAAAGGAAAACTGAATTTTCCACTCAATTATAACTGCAGGTCCATGTTGATGTGAAGATGGGGTCTCCAAGAGAAAGCTTTGGGCTAGGACAGTGCAGTGAAAAGGTCTACCCTTCTGAATTTGTAGGAGTCCTTTCACAAAGGAAGTGAGAGAAACTTCATTTCATGTGACATTAGAGGCATCTAACTTCAACCCACATGAAAACAAGAAGAAAACCATGATCATGGTTTCAAAGTAGTCTAGCTGGGAGAAATGGAGAGTGAATCACTGGAGCCAGTGCCAAGATCCTAGAAGGCAGACTGTCCTTTGGACTGTAAATGGGTGTGTTTGTTCACATGGTGAGCGTTTTACAACTTGTTCTTGCGTCTTTACTTGGTGTGAGATACTTTCCAGGTTAGGAGGAGATACTGAGTACCTTGACCCACACCAACACCAACATACAAGGTCTGAACCTTCCCTCTCTAAAGAGAGTTATAAAACCCCTGCTGCTGCGAGCACTGCAAGGCTTTTGAACAGGCACCCTCTGTTACAGAGATGGAGCCACTGCTAGGCTGTGCACTGGGGCTCAGCTCAGCAGAGGCTGCAGGCACCTTTGCTCAGCTGGGGATTCAGCTCACCTCCCATCACTCCAGGCCTGCCTTCCCATCCCTGCCATGGTAGGGAAGGATAAACAGCCAGGTGGCTGACAAAACCTAGCAGAATTTAATGCTGAAGACTGCGAGGTGGCCAGCAAACATTGCAGTGGGGCTTACAGGTGTTAGAGGCTGCTATCGGGAAAAGAAAACCAGAAACCTGAGGGAAAGATTGGAAAGGAAACAGAGAGAAATAAGTAACATAACCTGCCACATTTCTGCAAGAAGGGCTGAATTTCTCCCTGCTTTCAGCTCGCTGGGGACCATACTGCAGGAAGAGGCAAATATATGCACCTCAGAAAACTACCAGGTACAGGACTAGGCCCTTGAGATGAATTTCTCCCTTAGCACCAAATGGCTTTGCTGCAGAGGAAGGCAGAAAAGATGGGCTGCAATGCTTGAGGCAAGATTTTGTGTGAGCTATTAGTATCAAATGAACCTCACTGTGGATTTCCCACTTTTCAAAATGTAAGGCTCCACGCTTGACAGGATTTTGCCTGTCCGTGTAACATGAGATGCAGATGGCTGACAGTAGTCCTGCGGGTTCCTGTTTTGACTCTGCCAATGTTACGTTCACAAGTGTCAAAAGGAGGTGGAAGTTATAAAGAAAAAGAAAGTAGCCTATGGTTTCAGAAACATCCTTTTTCTACAAAAGGAAGTGAGTATGCAAAAAAATAAAATAGTATCCCCAAAATAAAATAAAATAAACAGTATCCCCAAAAAGATTGCAGTCTGCAATCTTTCCTTTTTTTTCTCTTTTTTTTTTTCCTTAAATAATACGAAAACATATGAGAAAGGAAAGGAAAATGTAAAAGCAGAGAGCTTAAATACAGAAGGACTTGAAGGGACCTGTTAAGCAGGGAGGTGCCACCAGCAAAACGTTGATTTGCTTTCCCTGAGGAATTCTGCACTGCTGGGAATGCCTAATATAGGTACTGAGATAGTATGGCCAGCACCCTCACCAACTCAAAGAGTCCAAGCTTGATGGCCAGGGGTCAGTCCTGTCACTTGGAGGGGACAGTCCCACCCAGGGAAGTATGGCCCACTGCAGGAGAATGCAGTCCACACTTCCTGATTGGCAGAGGAACAATCTGTTTCTCCTCCCCCTGAACTGCAGTTTTGTGTCAAGCTACCATTCTCAAGCCCATGGGCCGGCCTGAGTCAGTCTGGATGGGTGGACACAGGGCACATCCCTCAGATCGATAGGGTTTCCACAGCCTTCTCATACATGCGCTCCAAGATGCGGTGGATGCTGGCAAAGCCTGGCCGGTCAGAGGGTAGCTTGCTCCAGCAGAGGCGCATCAGGTTGTAGAGCTCCAGGGGACAATTGTCTGGGCAAGAGAGGACATTCCCATCCCTCACGTAGTAGATGACCTCCTCGTGAGCCATCCCGTAGTAGGGCTGCATGCCATAGGAGAAGATCTCCCACAGCACCACCCCGTAGGCCCACACATCAGACTCTGTAGTGTAGCGGTTGTAGAAAATGGATTCAGGGGGCATCCAGCGGATGGGGATGGCATCATTCTCATTTGCCTTGTAATAGTCAGCTGAATACATGTTCCTTGAGAGACCAAAATCAGCTATTTTTACAACCATGTTTTCCCCCACCAGGCAGTTCCTGGTAGCCAAATCCCGGTGGACAAACTTGCGCTCAGAGAGGTACGCCATGCCGGCAGCCACCTGCTTGGCAATGCAGAGTTGGCTGGTGCAGCACAACGCAAGGGGGTTGGGGAAGCAGATCTGCTCATCCAGGTTCCCATGCACCAGGCTGCAGAGGTTGCGGGGTGAGCGGTCACGCAGGTACTCATTTAGATCCCCATAGGCCATGTACTCAAACAGCAGGCACATCGGTTTCCCAACAGCACAAACACCTAGAAGAAGATAGATGCACCACAGAGGTCATTTGGGTTCTGTTGTGCAAAACAAAAATATACATAAATACTTACAGAAAGGGGAGACTTTCAACAGTGCATGAAGGGGAAGAGAGAAAGGAGAAGCATGCAAATACCATCAAGAATGCATGTATCCCTTTGAGTCTCTGAAGTTCCTTCACCAGGTATCTAATTCTGAGCTCCATGGGAGATGCTAACAAGACATGCAGTTGCCTGGTATTTCTGGAAACCCAGGAAAAAGATATTCTTTTGGAGCTATGTTCAGTTAAGAGCCAGTCCTGCTTAACAGAAATACTGCCTCTTCCCAGGTACAACTGGAAGGAAAAACTTTCAGGAAGTAACCTTTGTAGTTCTGATTAAGGTATTTTTTTTTGATTCTTTTGTTTGTTGTAATTACTGTACTTATATGTGTCTAGGGGCTACACATATGTGGGAAGACTTCAGGAGTAAGCAGAAGGGGTATGTTCAAGGGTTCACTGGGATACTTGAAATGCAAAGACACTCCCACTACAACTTCTTCTGCTCATAAGCTCATGCAAAAAATACTGGTTCTAGAAATGCCTTTTGTCATGACAAATACTCAAAAAGGAAAGAAAGACAAATTAAAAACAGACATCAGAAAGGAGAGATTTGCCACATCTGATACACACAGTTTAGTCCTCCTGACGGGCACATGCTTGACCTACACCAGTTTTACTGGGGGCCAGCATCAATACAGGACCCCACTGGCACTGTTTTTATTGAGCATACAATGACATGGCAAAAATTTTTGCATGCCTATTATTAAGTTGCCAACAAGCAATACCCAGCATTTCAAATGTATGTGTTTTGCTTTCTTAGGGCCATTATTTAGCAATTGCTGAATCTGTGAACTCTGAACTTCTCATTGATGACCTAACACTTGAAACGTTGAGGAAACAGATGGCTGTTCCCAGTGTGATAAAATAAAGATCTGACAAGCATGAGAAGTGTATGCGAGAGCTTTGTCATCTAAGCTGCCTTCAAAAACACGACTTTTCTCCACATCCCCATGATCTGAAGCTAGTTTGTTCCTGTACGTTCTCCCTTTACTGACCTAAAGTGTATTGACAGTAAATATAATGTTTATTTCAGTTTGGGTATTTCCTGCTTTTCATTTCTGTAGCTAAAGCACTTGTATCAACCCAGCTTTCCCAAACCTGGGATTTATCTATTTCCAAATTTTCTGCAGCTTCCTATTGAAATAAATTAGGATCTCAGCTTCCTGTTTGCAGGGATCAGGTCTGCATACAATAATTTAGAGCAGGATTGCCAGGTGAAGGTGGCTAGCAACACCTACTTCTCTCAAAACCTGAAAATTTACTGAAATAAAATTTGGTAAGCAGCTTTCTTCAGAGAACAGTGCGCTATTAGCCAAGCTGCAACATTGAGACTTTCTAAAAAACCCAATAAACCAAGGTTTCCTTTCAGTTGGAGAGGGGAGGGAAGGAAGAGACCATTTTTGCGGCTGGCTTTTCTTGTTTATTTGTTTCAGTTTGGTATTTTTTCAATGCTGGTGACTGTTCAGACATCACAATAGTAAGTGGGACCCATAAAACTAACTGGAGTTGTGCCTGGCTTTTTTTAAGTACCCATAAAGTAGATCACAGCTCCAGGGAGCTTGTGCTTTCCCTGAAGACACGTGCCAGTGTTAAAAAACTGGAAGCAGAGCTAGGCAACAAGATTATCAAGAAAATACTCAGTGCAGGACAAGAAGGTTTTTTTGCAATGCACTGTCCTGTTAAGGCAACAGCATCAGACCTACATTTTGAGACTTGTTCTGGTGGAAAAGTTAGCAGAGAATGCAGTGGCACACAGAAAAGCTCACCAGTACTGAATGCGTGTTCACCCCTGCACCCCAACAACCCCATAACAGATTTGCAGAAGGTGGTACACTGTATATGGGTGCCTTATCCAGATACCTAAAAGCTTGACAATATTTGGATTGTCAAACTCTGCCATTAGGGCTGCCTCCCTCTGAAAGTCAGCCTGCATGTCTGCAGATGCTTCCTCCTTCAGCATTTTCACTGCCACCATTGTGAAAGGCTCGTATGGCAGCAGCCCTGGTGCCCTGCAAGAAGACAGAAAGGAAAGCATCAGTAATGGATGCATGCACACTAAATGTAGGCTCTGCTTCTGGTGCGAAAGGATAGGATGATAGAAGAAAAAAAAGAAAAAAAGGGTGGAAGGCCCCAGCACTGACTGAAGACATGTGAAAGACCATCTTCATCTCTTGAGTATGCCTGCATTGCATGGTACAGAGACATTTAGTTTAGTTCAGGGGAGACTAAATCCAATACAGCTCCTTTTTATCACTGCTCTTTCTGCTTACAGGCTCTTTATCATTCCTAGTAAACAGTTAAGTAACTAACAGGCTGGTAAGCAATAGCCTCTTCCGGGGTTGGAAACTTCATGGAAGGCAGAATGGACTTATTATTCCAAATAATTCACTAATAATAACGGTGTAATGACTGAACATACCAGAGTTTAAAATAAACCTGGTTTATATGAAAATGTTGAAAAAGCCTCTTCACTGTGTCTTGTCCCATACCTGGCACCACAGTGGCATTGGTACATCTGACTACTATTAGAGTGAAAGTAACAATTACAGTAAATATGTTTCCCTGAGTTTGTAAGGAAAATAGCCTTTTGCCACTGTTCTATTTGTGTGTATGCCTGTAATTCAACATGATATAAACCATTAGCTAATTTCAGCTGAATTTAATATGGTGGAGCTGAGGTATAGGAAATAGTTACGTTTCTGGAAGTCTTGTGGAAACAGGTGACAGGCCAGAAGGGACAAAGCATACTTGTTCCCTGTCTGAAGAACAAGGTAACGCCTGAATAAGACACGATTGAACATTCAGCTAGAGCTTAGAGAGGCAAATCTGTAGGAAACACAGCTTCCTGACTTAGAGCAATTACAGACTCATTTTGGTTTCTTATCCAAAGGTCAATGCACCCTCAAAGTTTAATTACATGGGCTTGCCAAAGATTTCAAGGTAGCTGTTGCCAAAGAAGAGCAACTTCCTACTCTTCAAATATGCATCAAATTTCAGACATGCATTTTGTTGCCCATGCAAATTCTTCCCAAGAGTCCTGCAGTTAGAACACGTTCCTTACATGCATCTGGCCAGATCCCACGGAGAGTTGTGCCCATTTAGGTGTCATGTTACTACGCCAGCCCGGCTGCCCTCCCATTGCTCAAATGCCAGGTTATTTTACTGCTCAGTGGCCCCAAGACAAGGTTCCGATTTCCCAAGCAAACTTCCAGTTTCCTTTTCATCTGCTTGAGACATATGGTAGTTGCAACAGTTGCACTTGGATGCTGTAAATGTCAAATGTCAGAAGATGGTGGGGTGCCCATCCAGAAAGGAATTTCACAGGTGGCCAGATCGCAGTTGAGACACTAGGGTGAGGAGGTCTGGTGTGCTGGAGCAGAGGAGCAGGCTCCACACTTGTCTGCTACTGCCTCCGTTATAGCAAAATGCCTTGAGTTTTTTTCCCTCAGTGCTGGCAGCAAGTTTCCAGTCCAGGAGGAGGGGAGAAGTACCAGCACCTACTAGCTGCTGTCTAATATCAGTACTGTAGAAAGTCAGCAGCAACAGCCTAAAGAAACCAGTAGAGTATTTAAAAGTAAAAATAGAAGGGCCTTTATCTCCTCCTAACAGCCTCATTTTAGATTACAGCTCATCACTGGCTAGCAGATCTAGTGCAGTGCCAAAGCAAAGGCAGGCACAGCTTCACCTTCCATGCTTTGGAGAGAGAAACTCACTCCAGGCTAAAGCCTGAAGTACACCCATCCATCTACCCTTCACTGAAATACCGTAATGTAAACTAACTTAAATGTAACTTAAGTGAGATTAAGCTGCTCAAAGCCTTTTAACGGGCCTTTACGCAACAGCAAGTAATTTCACCCTTGGTAATGTGTGCTGATTCAGCCCAGTTCTTAGGAAATTCACACTGATCTGGAACAAGGACAAACTCTGCAGTTTTTGCAGAGAACTATTTAATGCCCAAAATACAGTGTTTGAAAAACAGATAGGGGCACATCTGCAAAGGAACAAGAGGAAGGCACTGCTTCTGAAATTAACCAGGAGAATTCTGACAGCAGGGTGGAACATGGAGTGCTTTCTACAAAATAGGTAAATTTCTCACAAAGCTAGGCATCATTAAAAGAAATTACCTTGGGTTTCCTCTCTCATGATTATCTAAATGCTTAGAAGAAATATCCACTGTGCACAGGACAGACAGCGGCTGTCCTCACCTTCACCATCAATGATTTGTGCAACACTGGCAACATTTGGCTTTTAGGTACCTGCCATTCAAAGAACTAAGCAGAAGTGCAACCAGGTATTTCACTCTGAGCCTACTTTCAGAGGGTGCCTGACTAAGTTTCAATCAGGTTTTCCTTCAAGAGCAGTAAAAAAAACAGGAGAAGCTTGAACCTGTATTTGAGACTGTGTCCTGTCCCCCATCTTCATCAGTATTATAGCTGGGTAGCTTCTGTTAGATAAGTAAATGATGCAAATAACATTTACTGGGGCTGATGCAGACCTGTCTTTACCCTGTTCTTTGGAGAAATTCATATGTGGTCAGGAGAGTGCTCTTAATTAGCAGGGGCTCCTTTTGTTGACTGTATTTTGTATTAACATCCACACTGGTTTTCAGCTATATTTGAGAAAGCAGATCAAAGAAACACCCTTTGCACTTGGAAAGAACACAGGGAGACACTTGTCAGAGAACCTCTGACCTCAACGACAGCCTTGCTTCTTGCAGAGATGATGAGCTGTGTCTTTGCAGTGAGGGTCTACTGGCCTGCTAGCAAAACCCCATGTCAAGGCCTTTTGGCAATCTTAGCCTGGACCATGCAACTCCATCTCTGGGAAAAAACTTGCACACTGGTCTGAGTTGAACTGTACAGAGCTGGTGCTCTGGTAGTGTGTGGTGCCAGCATGGTCCTCCCTGAAGCAAATGATCCTGAGTTGGCCATCATGTGTCAGTCTGAGCTAGATCCTAAATCTTATTTGAAGGATATCTGGTTACTTCCTCATCCTTTCTGTGTGATGCTGCCTCCAGTGAAGACAGCAGCTTTTCAGGAGATGCTAGTAAATGATCGCCTAACTCTTCCTGTCCTAACATGTTGCTTGACCCAAGAGTAAACACTGAATCAGGACTCACAGCAAGCCAACTGGCAAAGATGTCGTTGGCACCATGCAGAGACCTGTGTTTACAGGAGAGGGAGAAACATGAGAACAGGAGAAGTAAAAGGGTTACTAAACTTAGCTCAAGATGTCCATTTAACACATGTAGACAAGTACATTTTATCCATCTGAGATGGGAAGGCAATCAATTTGAGTTGTAATAACTTCACTAACCTGCTGGAATGCACAGCTGGTGCTACTGGGCCAGCAGTCTGCACTGATATGCCAGTGCTGCACAGAAACGCCAGTGGCCTAACTGTTCCCTGGAAGTACAAGGCCTTGGAGTGACTTCTGTTAGAGATATGAATAAGGAAGCCCCTCAGAAGAAATCTTTCTGTGGTTCCTTTCCTGAGCCACAGAGAGCAGGGTTTTTTTAGGGCATGGTAGTGTGGTACAATCCACTTTGCAAATGCTGGCTAGGAAGATGTGCTGCTTATTTTTTATTCCCTTCTCTTTTTCTCCCTGTTCCACTGTCAATAGCAAAAAGTTTAATTAAAAGAGATTGCAGCACTGGGGTGGATGAAATCCACATCAAAGGTGTTTACACCACTTTAGCACTTGCTTAACCCAGCTTTAGTGACATTGAACACCCTTTGAGAGGTCCTGTTCAATGTGAGTGAGAATCATTTCCAGCTCAGAAAGGTCTGTGCAACACTTAAATTATCCTGAAGTTCCCAGCACAGAGCTGAAGCAGCACTTGGTAGGAAGACCACTTGTGCACCCACAGTGTGGTGAGGACCCCAGCCATGCCAGTGGAAAGGTGACACTCCACACAGCATCCTGAGTGCTATGCTGTGGCTGGGATGAGGGCTGCCCTGTACCCCTCTGCCAGCTCACAGGCAGTGACCCAAGCTCAGCTGTGAAGTGGTTTCTACAGCTTTGCTCTCTTTTCAAGATGAGATATATTCATCTTTGCCATCCAGGCTAGCAATCAATTACAGGCTCAGCATCTGTGATTCTTCCACTGCACACCCTTCAAACTTTTTTGGTGTGTTATTCTTCTGTGTTAAAGAAAAGCGTGCCTGCATTTATTCCATTAGAAAAAAGGCATCCCTTCATAAGAAAAAAAATCCATCCCAGCCAATGAAAATCTTTCCCTGCTCTTTAATTCATTTAACACGAGCATAGCTCATTTCCTAGCAGGTACATCAACGGCATAATCATAAACATTAAAAGCATCTGTAATTATGACTGCTTTTTTCAAGGACAGTCCTTTGACTTTGAAGTCAATGGGAGCAGTTCCACCAGGCAGGTCTTGGTCTGTGGTGGGACTCTGCCACTCCCCTGTTCTTTTGAGGGCATCATACACAATTCCAGATATGCTACAAAATCAGCCACATCCCAGATTTGTTAACAGTACAAGACAAAGAAAACTGTCCTAAATAAACATAGAACTGGACAGTCTGTCCACTTCCAGGAATTTGGGGATGGAATTTCCCAAGGCACCTAGTACTGACCAAAAACTGTTCTGCAGAAATTACGGACACTGCCCAGGTTAACAGGACACCCTCCAACCACCTCAGTCCAGGCAGGACTAGGTTTATCGCTGGGTTTTTCAATTAAATATTTTTCACATTTGAAGAAGTGCATGACCTCACCACCCATGAGATTTAACAGAACTGGGATCTCATCTAATACCTTAAATTTAAAACAGGCAACAATAGCTGCAAATTCCAAGAATATTGAGCAACTAAAAGGGGACGCTCACACACACATGAAAAATTGGCCTAAGTGGGTTGGGTTTTTAGGGGATTTTTGGTTTGTTTTGGTTTTGCCATTGAATCAAATTGAAACTGGGTCAGGACCTAACTGGAGCATGACACATTGCCCTCTGTGGTAGTTACTGGCCAGTGTTGGCTTTATAACAGAGGACACAACACACTGAGTGGGAAATGCAAGGATTTCACAATAAATCACATGTCAGAAGCAATACTTTTGGCAAAAAAGAGTGGTGATAAATTTAGCCAAGTTTTTACACCACACTTTCGTATTCAAGTAGAACATTATATCTACTAGAGAGAACAAAAGAGTCATTTGTGACAAAAGTTTAGCAAATCACACAAAGCAATGGACAAGAGAAACAGTAACTTAAGCTTGAGTGTATGATTTGGTACACATGCATTTGATCTTGGTTTGAGAGAATGAATGAACGAATCATTTCCAGTGCCCAGATAAAGCAGTTGCCTGATTGCAAATTCTTCCCTGGTACCTCCAGATGAAGACTCACACCCAAGCCACTTACCTTGCCTGGAAGACTCTCCCAAATGCTCCTTCCCCAATATCTCTTACATATTCAATATTATTCCTGGGGTATTCCAGGCTGAGCAATTTTGGATTGAGGAGAAGGGGTGTCCTTTGGTACATCGGGTTGGGATGCAGCCGGTCCAGAAGGAGTTCAGAGGGCAAAGTCGTGAGCGTTGGTGTCTCTGACTCTCTGAAATGATGGAGCAGTTTCCAGTCAGTATGTGCATAGCCCTCAACCAGCAGATACCTATCTATCTGCATCTTCTCCAGGCTGGTTTCTTCCAGGATGGAAAAGGGAGGTGCAGCAGGGCTGTTGAAAGTCTTACAGCAAGATATCATGCCATGTCCCAAAAATAGCCACTAGGCCACAGGGACTAACCAGGGCTTGCACTGGGCTGTCATAGGCAAAGGGAGGACTGCTCCCACCTAACAGGCATTAATGGGACTATGCTCTCAGAAATAGACAAGCCCTCTTTCAAAGCAGTATTTGTTGCCTCAAGTCCTCAGGTTTACCTTTTTTTGTTTTTCCACTGCTTTCGCTGGCGGCAGCAAACCAAGGTCACAATGCTGAGGATCATGACCAAGGCAAAGCTGGAGATGATTGAGATGATAACAGTCATGGAGTATGTAGGGGAAAATGGAAGAGGAGGTGGCAGATTTGGAGTCTCTCCATTTGGTTTTCTTGTTCCTAGTGCTAATGATGCTGTAATGCAAACAAAACCAAAAGGTTATGCTTCTGCCAGTTTATAGGACTTTTTTTAAGAGGTATTCATGGAGACAACCTAATAAGAGAGCTGGGGGTGCTGGCTGACATCTGGCTGAACATGAGCCAGCTTGTGCCCAGGCAGCCAAGAAGCCCAACAGCATCCTGGCCTGTATCAGCAATAGTGTGGCCAGCAGGACCAGGGCAGTGATCATCCCCCTGCACTCAGCACTGGTGAGGCCGCATCTTGAATCCTGCATTCAGCTCTGATCCCCTCACTACAAAGAGACATTGAGCTGCTGAAAAGGGCCCAGACAAGGGTAATGATAGTGGTGAAGGGCCTGCAGCACAAGTCTGATGAGGAGCAGCTGAAGAAACTGGGTTGTTTAGTCTGGAGAAGGGAAGGCTCAGGTGGGATCTTATCACTCTCTACAGATACATGAAGGGAGGATGGAGAGAGGAAATGGTCCGTCTCTTCTCCCAAATAACAAGTGCTAGGACAAGAGGAAATAGCCTTGAGCTGTGACTGGAGAGGTTTAAATTGGATATTAGAAAAAAATTCTTCACTGAAAGGTGCTCAGGCATTGGAACAGGCTGCCCAGGGCAGTGGTGGAATCACCGTCCCAGGAAGCATTAAAAAAAGTGTAGATGAGGCCCTCAGTGACATGGTTTAGAGATGAACTTGGAAGTCCTGGGGTAATGGTTGGACTTGATGATCTTAGAGGTCTTTTCCAACCTAATTGATTCCATGGTTCTATGATGTCCTGAGAATTACTGACATCACAGATACAACCAGATGATTGCATGAGTGGACCATACTTAGGGAAGCCTGGTTTGCAGGAAGCAAAACCTGTTTTGCTTACCAAATACAAAAACTCAGGATTGGCAAAGACCAAGACACGGTTCCCATTGAGCTGGTAAGGAATGTTTGCAAGATACACAGATAGGAACTCACATATGATGGTCTCAACAGTATTCAAATATAGTAATGTCTGCAGTGGGAAAGATCAATGATCTGCAATGTGGACCACAATGTATCATGTGTCCTGAAAGGAATCTTCAGTGAGGAGTGTAATACCAAGTAAGTACACAGTGATACTTTCCTGAAATATCCACTTGCCTCCAGCAATTTGTGTCTTGGTGACCTTACGGGGCAAATATGGCAAATGAGTGTAAAATACATTCAGCTGTATAATTAAAAAAATAATAATATTAATGTAGACACCTGCTGGGTACTTTCTGAGACACTGCAGAAAATCTATCTGCACATGAAATGACTGAGAACAGAAAGAAACTGAAATCATTATTTTTAAGGCCAGCTAAACAGCAGCCCTGCTCTCTGCAAGCATTATTGTCTTACTTCCAAACACTGCTGTCCAGAAACTGTGCATCTTGGATTAAATACTTTTCAAAAATTATTCTATTCCTTGGAAAATAAATAACAGAAAGACTTAAGTCCAACATCACAGAGAAAAGATATCTTTTCCAGATTTGTTTTTAGTTAGGTTTGGTTTTTTGTTATTGAAAAAAATTGCCAGAAGAAAAACAACCTTGGAAAATAGCCCCAAACCTTACCTTGTCCTCAAAACACAGTGTGGCAAACCCGTTTTTCACAATACCACAGGAAATTTGATTTTATCATTTGGCTTTAACATAATATGGGGTAAGGAGCTCAATTTGCCTATCTTCATAGTCATTTAAGGTGCATCTTACATCTTCTGGTTAAAGGTGCTGAGTGAATCTATGCGAAGAACCAGGACTGACTGAATCCTGAACATGGGACAAACTGGTGTGGTCATGATGTAAATGCTTTGCATGGCCCCAGACAACAGTGACAGAAATCATAAACTGTAGTTGCCTACCATCTCCACAGGGAGACACATTGCAGTATTCCCAGGTCACGGATGGGTCTTTTGTGTAGCACCAGGGACGGTCCTTCTCACCACCTGGATTGCGGCAGTAATTCTCAGCATCAGACAGCTCAGGGAAAACTTGAGGAGTCCTCCTGTGCAAATGGGGAGCCTTGAGGAAGGAAACAAATTGGATTATTGTTTCAGTATAATTTTTTTCCTGCTGGTATTAGCAAAACAAAACCAAACAAAACAAAGGAGCAAAGAAAGGTTGAGGTAAAACAGCCTTTCAGTGGCCTGCCAGAATAACAGAGAACACGTTCTGCCACAGAAAGGGGAACTTGCAGACTGAAATATGAAGAGGATGTGAAGCACCAGTGAACTCAAGAATGAAAGCAACCTATCTGCTGCTCAGCCCTTCCACTGGAACTGGGCTGCCCAGCTCTGGGAAAGTCTTAGGAGAAGCAGACCTTGAGCATGGGTCTCCGTTCAGTAGGTCTCACACTGATGCGCACCTGGTCACTCCACTTCTGGCAGGGAATGCCAGAGACAGTGATGTTGGCCCAGCCGTGGTAAAACTGTCCATTGCCGGTGTAGCAAGTCCCTGGGGAAAAAAAACAAATATGGGGGTCAAGCATCTCAGACCATGTCAGCAGCAGGGACTCACAGAAATATACTTCATGTCATTACATAAGAGCACGTGGCAATCAGCAACATATCTGAAGTGCACATAAGGACCAGGCAACTGCAGGCAGGGAACTGCTTAGCCTCCTGTTGGCACGCAAATGGATTTTGAGATCAACACATAAGATCAAATCTGGTAAAACTCCAAAGAGGGAACTGTAGCTCTTTCAGATTGAGGAAACAGGCCGTGCACCTGTGATGGCTGTGCTGCATTTACCCAGTTCACAGCCCTTCCACACTGGCAGCGCAGAGCACAACCACAGTGAAGCCATCCATGCTATGCCAAGACAGAAAGCAAATTGCAGCAACAATTGCATGATTTCCAGCCTGCACTCTTACAGGGGCCCTAGCAGGAAGACATCCAAATTCCTGGGACAATAACAGAGAGCTGAGATTCATAAATTCCCATACTGGTATACCTCCTCCCTGCCTCTGGCTTGTCTTCTTAGATTGAATGTTTGGGAAAAGCCTATGGTTTCCAACATGTGTTCCCATAGCCCAGGGCATCCAAACACCTCAGTAAAGCAGTGACCATTAATTTCATGAGCACACTTAACCCATCACGAACACAAAGTAAAATGCTCAGACTTGGACTCCTTTTACTGATACATAAATTACCATGTTATGCCTCACATCTGCAACAAGCTAACAACCCCCACATGGCCAGCACCTACACCCTCTTCTGGGGGGTAAAATCTTCTAAAGCTGCCCTAGTACACAGCTGTTTATCTGAGCCCATCATTTTTAAATGTCTCACATTCAAAGGCAAAGCAGTGCCTGAAACCTGCCTCATGACTCAGCTAGTATCCAATATGAGAACAAATTTTGCACAGATCTGACATAAACTTTGTTGTAACACCTTCAAGGAGCAATGTGGAGAGGTTTAGGGACAGCAGCAACATTCAAGAAGAACCTCTGAGTCCTTGGAAAATGCAGGTGCTGTTGTACATAGTTTTGCTACAATGAGGACAGAGGGAATAACAAAGGTGGTCCAACTGAGTTTAATGAATAACTTTGATGGACAAGCTAGCAAATGGTTACATTTATGCTCCCAAATCTTTGTGCACATAACAGTGCATCCAAAGTAAAAAAGAGGGGGAAATATCACAAGAATGTTGCTGTTACATCTTCTGATTCATGACCCAATAGTGTACACCTGTGCAATGCCACTCTGGGAAAATACTGTGAAAGCTGACAAAAAGGTGATACATTTACAAAGGAGAGAAAGACCATGTCCTGAACTTGCAAACCAATGGGCTGAAACCAGCCCGTGACTGCACCACTCATTTGCTGGCATTTGTCCCTTTTGCTCCCTTCCCCAGGGAGGGGATGGCTGCTGCTGTGGGCTGTAAGCATTAGGCATGATGCTTGAATGCCCATGGGGCACTAAAGAACTTGTCTCCAGGTATACAGCACTTGGTGCCTGGGGGTTGGGTGGCAATGTAGAGCCAAGTCCTTCCCAGGAAAGTAAATTCCATGAAACTCTCAGTTTCACTTTTTCACTTTCTCCCTCCATGCAGAAGGTGCCTGCCACACCAGATTTGCAGACCTCGCCTGATGAGAAGCATGGCAGGAGTGAGGTTTTTCCTTCTTCAATCGGTCAAGTTCAGTGGCTGAGTTTTAAAACTGCAGTTGCATGTCAGTTGGAAAAGCTGTATTTGCATGTTTCAACCAGGACCAGCAGCAGGGCAGGAGGCTGACTGAAGTCACAGCAGCACTGTGGGGGGTAGCTGGATCTCATCACTGGTCTTTGAGGGTAACACGAGAAACAGACATAATTCAGAGCTGATTGGAGCAAAGTGCAAGGCCAGCTTGATGTAGGTAACCATGGCAGTATCAGTAACAGCACAGAAGGCTGGGATGTATCAAAAATACTAAATATGGGTAAAGCAAACCTAGAATGAATGGGTAGAAAGAAGGGAAAACAGCTGAAAGGGAGGGTACCACCTAAAAGCACCATGCCTCTCTAACAGCCTTCAGCAGTTACCATTCTACTTTCTTGCCAGGCTCTGTAGAGATGAGAATGTGTTTCCCCATACCTTGGATGTGGAAACTCAGGCATTCCTTGGTAATAACCTGAATCCATCCAGCTAGGACCAGAACAAAACACAAAAATGCTGTGCAAGCTGCATCCTCAGCAAAGAACATCATGCCCATCGCTAGAAACATAGAGCCTGGAGAAGTCTACTTACTGGTTATATTCTCATTCGTAAAATCTGTAAAAAGACAATACTTGACGTAAGGAGCGGTTGTCCAGGATATGACATAACTGGGTGCTATCTCAGGAGCATACTATGGGAAAAAGTTCCCTCCCACCAGTGCTTAAGCAGCTTGCTTCTTTGCAGTGGCACCTGAATGGCAATTTTGCCATCATTAAGACTGATTTTGGCAATGAGATTGTTATGACCTTCTCAATAAAGAGCTAGGCTTTATTTACTTAAGGGATTTTTTTTCCTCACACTAGTTGGATGTGACAGGCAAGCAGCCAATGAAGCTGTCACAGTTCTATCCACAGGCACTGGTAGGAGTATAGCCACCATCACCCTTTCCTTTAGTTGTAAGTTATGGATCAGATCTTTCCCCCCTCCCTCACCAAGAGCACAGTTCTCCAAACAATGGGAAGCATGTGCCACCTTACCAAAGAAAGGGATGTGGGCACAGGCACTGGGGTCCTGGTGCAGGCTGGGCAGCCTGTTGCATTCAGGAAGACTTAGCGACATCAGCCCTGGCTTGTAAATCCCCTTCTGAGTGTTTTCCTCCATTGAGAGCCATTCCTTAAAGCAGTAGAGATCCTTTACAGCAAGGCAATTCTCTCTACATTATTTTGCAAAAAACAGTGAAATATAGTAGTCAATGGCTGGATAACAATGGTTGCACTTAGAGTTATGTGTGCAGGGGTTATGCAGGCTGACAGAAATCCATTAACAGGGTTATGACTTTAAGCCAGTCTGTCTGGCTCATAAACCATAAAGGAAACTCTGTATAAAATGCAGCAGCTTCCTATAGGAAACCTACAAAACTACATTTTTAATGAAGCAGGGTTATGCTCACAACGCATATCGCAGTCTGAGAGGAGGTCATTCCCATCTTTTCCTACAGATGTATTGACATCTTCTACTAATAAACACCATGCCCAGAATCTATCTTAGCATTTTTTAGTACATTTTGAAAATCTCACCTGTCTTCTGTAAATTGTACACTAAAGTGTCATCTCATAAAGACAACAGGTGAGATGCAGTTCTTAATCTCCTTGAACTATTTGCCTGTGTTTTTAATCTCACAGAATCATCCATCTAATTTTCTTTTTCTCTCCACAGAAAACTTTTAGTTCCTTTTTCATCTGTCAGCTGTCTGCAGCAAAGCCTTTACAGTGCCGGGTAAAACCAGAGACCTAACTGTCTCCTACCTAATGTATTACCTCCATAACAATGTGAAACATTTATGGACAAGAAGTGGGGGTTTTCGATTCCTTAACTGTTCCTTGGATCAGAAACTGCTAGTAAAGAAGGCTAAGTCAGAAAAATGTGCTCTATAACAAAAAAAAAAAAAAAAAGGGGGGGGGGGGGGAGGGGGGAACAAAAAAACGCAACAACTGTACCAAACTGGTAAATTTGAGGATTTGTTGCATTACTCAATTTATCAGTGATTTACTTATTTATATACTCATTCTTGAGAACCTTAGTTGCAAAACCAGCTTTGAGATTATGTGCAGAGATTGCTTTTGCTGAGCTCAGCTGAAGCCTTTTGCTGATCCACATTCTTTCCAACCACCACACACCAATGAAGAGAAGAGTCTCTGGGGTTCGTGGTGAAGATTTTAACCAAACTCATCACCTGATGGGCTTATACAACAGTTTGGGGAAGAAGAGGTGGCCATGAGTTTCAATGATGACTAACAACACTGCAAACCCCCTTAAAGCACCTAAAGGATGGAGGCCATTGGGAATTCTACCATGGCAGCAGTAATGGATGCCCTTCAAGTCTGCAGGCTGAAGCCATCAAACCCCAGCTGCACTGTGCTTTGTTCCAGCCAGTGCTGGTTCAATTCTTCCTCATGTCCATGAAAGCCAGAATGCAGACAGACAGTGTAATTTACCTTTTTCATCTTAAACACGTAGAAAGGGAATTAATTTCTGAAGTGAATAGATATTTAGCTAGAGAAATGAGAAAATCTTGCATATGAAACACTGGCCAACATGGGAGATCTGGATTGCAGTAGCTTCCTTCACTCCTGAAGCCTTAGTATCCTTACACAAGTCCTTTATTTGGTATGTAATTGCAAAATGCAAAAGACCATTCCTCTGCAATCCTGTCCCCTCTAATGCTAAAGGCAGGTTACCTTCACCCACAAACCCATCTGGGGAGCATTGTGCGGCAGCTGGAGGGAGGGATGGTCAGCCTCTTTGAGCTGTGTTCATACCATTGTTATAACACTTAATCCTGAGCAGCAAAAGCTTGATGAGATCATGTGTAAAGATTACTTCAGATTATTTTTAGAAATTTTATGTCATGTAAGTGACAGACAAACAAAGAACAGTGGCAGCAGAAGATGACAAATGGGCCAGTAGCATTTTAGGGCCAATAAAGGACTGTTTAAAAAGAGGTGGGGACACAGACACCTGACCAAAGTGAGACATTTCCCAACACAAGACTGTTCTCTGCAGCCTAGTCACTTCATATCAGCAAAGATTGAAACAGAAATTGAGAGTTTTTCTGTCACAGCTTCTTTTCACAGAAACTGCAAATGGTAAAAGGCAGATATAATCAAGAACTATGAGATGAGACATCATTTTCCCTCAAAACTAAGAAAACACTGATTTTAATCAGACTGCATTCTAATTTACATTAAGTGAAAATTTTTCCATGCTTTTTTCTTCCGCTTGACTTCATCTTGTTTGACTCCCTGATTATTTTTATAAAAGCTTTACTTGTTCTATCATTGGTATTCTTGTTAGCTAGCTTCCAAACCAATAGGAACATTAAAAACTATATAGGGAGATAAAAAATGGTGCAGAGAATAAAAAACAAGACGAAATAAAACCACACAGAAATACGTTAAGGTGAATATGTACTTCAAAAACTGGGAGAATCCTCCAGCCTCTGAGATAGTTAAATTCTTACTCATGAAGCATTTCAACTGAAAACTGGTGTAGTCTGGCCAGTTTCTGCGGAGAAGTATTAAATTGTCACTAAAAAGCAGATAAGACAATTGGAAAGTAACCAAGATCATCTGAAAAGTTTTCAAGAGCCCCTAGAGGTCTCAGCTGTTCACATGAACCTATTAGATATCTGAGTTATAAAAGCAAGTATTGGGTTATGGTTTTGGAAGACCTGTTGTCCAGCTGATGTGCTCTGGAAACTGGAAACAGGAAGGATGCTATTTCAGGGCTCTTGTCATGAAGAAAGACACACTTAAATCTACATTAAAATCATAGGGGGAAATCATTAAAGTGGAAAACCATAACGTTGACTTGTGGATTTGAAGAAAGATGATGCCAGGCAAGTCCATTAAGATTTAGACATTTGCAAATGCTGTGCCTGTTAGCGTGAGATTGAGTGCAGATTTATGCTGATTTATATCACTCTGACTTCAGAAGAGTCCCAGAAGTACAGGCCTTCAGTCAAATCACTATAAGCTCTGGTCCTGCAAGGCAGCTTAGGAGCAGGGGTAGATGAAGCCAGACCCAGATCCCACTGAAATGCCTTTTGGAGTACTGTGCAAAATCTTTAGCTGACAAATGTGCTGTGCATGTGTGGCTCAAATATAAATACTGTCACAGATTTTGAAAAAAGCCAGAGAGATCATGTACTACAGGGCACAGTGACAAAGACCAGAACAACAAGGTGGCAGGGAGGAGTCTGCCAGCAAAAAGCAGTACTTGGCTGCATGATTATCTTGCACATACTCTTCTTTCGCAGGATATTTGCCACTACTGTGCTGGCGGAGGAATACTGAACTGCGTAGAAACCAAATAGAGAACACAATGTATTGTCAAGCTTTGCACTGGGATTTTCCTCTGTGCCTTTGCTTTAGAGATATTAATGCAGGTGCAATCAGAAAGGTATCAACTAAAAGACAACATGCTGCTGGTTGTTCTAAAAAGCCCCTACATAACTGGGAAAGTAATTGCCAGTAGACTACATCTTTCCCAAGTCCAGCTGGCAGCATGCTTGCCATGTTTGCGGAGAAGATTTGTGATTTAGTTGAGACACTGCAGTTTGGGCTCTCCCACTGAACACGGACCTGAATAATCTGTTTTAAGATGCAGTTCAAGGCGAAACCAGAGCAAAGCACTGCACTTATGCAGACGTGTCAGTTGCCTAAATGTGAAATGGGTAATGACCAGACAACATTCCTACAGGGGCTGAAAATGGATCGGTTGTGTTAGGAAACAGAAAGCTTCACTCTGAGACAGCATATATGAACTGTCCTTTGCAAGGTACACCAAGCAATCATGGTTCTGTTATAGTTCAGACTAACAGAACCTGGGCTATATATATTTAGTGCTTAAGGAAAGATGAGGAGCAGAAGCTTCAGAGGCCAGAAAAGCAAAAGTTATGAGCAGAGCTTGGAAAAACCTGCTTTATTCTAGTCTGACAAGTTGGAGAAGATTAAAATTTCACTGCAAAGTAGGAGGGAGGAAACTCATTCCACCATCTGGCCATGGTGGGAGGACAAGTAGCAATAAGGGGAGGGTTGCTCAAGAGGTTGTATTGTGAGGGAGCAGTGTCTCAGTGTCTCTCTCACTGGGACCTATTGCACAGACACCTGTCGGCAGTATATTAGCTATAGTGGGAAATGCTCTGGACTCCTTGGAGCTCTGTTTCGAAGCACATTTTCTGTGTATGGGAGGACATAAGAGCCAGATGGGAGGTTTGGTTTAGCAGGTACAATTACACTGGCAGTGTCTGTGATATCATCTTTTTATGTTTCATCTTCATTGTTGTGGGAAGTGCTGAATGATTAGTTTATTGCCTTGGACAGATTTGTTGCGCACACTGTGACTATATCTAGTCAAAATTCTAAGCAAGCAATTACTTTTGATAATAATAATGAGCACATACTGACCTAGTAAGATTTAATCAATAGCAATATATTAATAATTTTAATCAATTATGTCATTCAAATGGATATTTCTTTTCAATACTGTCTGCTAAAAGCCTGATATAACACAGACATCTGGGCCTGAAAGTCGGTCAGTACCCTAGCAATGAGCACAGAGACAGCTGCATCAGGTCATCTCTGTGTATACAGAGGAGAGAGCAAAGGGAAAACGCATGCAAACCTAGAGGGCCCAGTTTCACTCTGCTACTCCAAGTCTGGACAGACCCTCACCACTCCCCTGCTGTCTACACATCCCCAAGAAATAAAGTGAAAATGAGCATTTTTTATTTTTTATTTATTTACCTGCACATTGGTTTTGGAGCTGGCCCAGCTCCTGAGGGATTGCACTCCTGGAAGATGTAGTTACACAGCAGAGACGCAGCAGCCGGTTGGCAGAATGAACTCACCATTTTCAGTTCAGTCCAGGCAGTGTGCACAAGCAGCTCTTGGGTCTCCTCTGGGTCAGCATAGGAGGAGTTGAAGAAAACAAGAGCATCCTTTGCCAAGATACCACTACACACCTCACCTCTGTACATGCTGCAGTAGCCTGCATCACCCTTGTATAGCTTGCTGTAAGAGACAAGACCATACACACAAAGTAAGCTCACGGCCCTAAACACCTGCAAAATAGGATGCCTAGGCTCTGTTTTTGAATAAAGTGGCATCCGTAAGGCTGGCAGGGGGCAGAGGAGAGGGTAGATGTTTATAATCACTAAAAGCAGCTAATACCATTGAAAAATGAGACTTCTGCAAGGAGTGCAGGGCCCTCCTGGTAAGCTCCAGGGCTGAGGTTCTGGTCAACAGTTGCTAACAGTTAAGGTGGGCAAAAAGACTGAGCTCTTGTGCACAGCCATGACCTAGCATGGCCTTTTACCCTGCCCTTGGCCCTAATGGGGAAACATTTTGTTTTCTTGCTTCCCTGCAGTAGAGATCAGCTGCTACTTGCTGTATACCTCTGATAACTCAGGATTTCCTGCTCTGCTGGCTGGCAACAGTTTAATTTTGCATTGTCTCAATGAACAGGAGCCAGGTGAGTCGCACCCAACATACGCCAGGGAATTCTTCACAAGATGAGAGCAGCCAAGCTCCTGCTTGCCTGTTCTCAGCTCCTCCACCCCTCCTGGCCCTGAATCTTTTCCATTCACATTTAGGTGGGAGACATATGGCACAGGCCTCAGCACTTTTCCTTCTGGTGCTTCCCTATAAGGTATATCCTCTCCTTTTTTCACATCTCCTGCCACAAAGCATGGGGCAAAACTATGGCAGAGCAATAAAAAGCAAAGTAGGACTGGCTTCTTCATGGGCTATTTATTTATCTTTACCACATTTTTTACATCTAAAAGGAGGCAGCTCTCATCCCTCCTTTCTTCCCCACAGCCATTGGAAGGGTGCAGCAGCATGAGGGCATGAAAAGGTCAGCTGTTCTCCTAGCAGCTCCCATGACTGCCCTATGGCAGCAAAGCCTGTGGGCATGGACATGCTCTCCACTTGGGCAGCCTGTGGCGTGCTATGCCCTTTGTATGGGGTGGAACCTGGAAAACAGCCTCCCCTGTCAGTGTGGCAGAAGCCAAAGGGGGGGGGGGGGGGGAGAAGGGGGTGCTGAGTGCAGCTGTTCCCACTGCTCGTTCAGTCAGTGCAACTGGAGTCAGGGAGTTCAATTCACAACACGCCAACCATTTGGAGTAGCCAGCAGAGCCATTTGTATCTGTGCCTTTTATTTCTTTTCCTTGGCCAAATAATTGTCCATTGTCAGCCCTGATGGCTCTTGCTGTTTTCCTTGGATGGATACAGGATTATACAGGACACCCAGATTTCTGCTTTTTAGATGCTTCTCTCTGCAGATGATGCTCTCTGGCCCTGGTTTAGTTGCTCTACTTTGGGCTTTATGTAATTTTTTTTTTTTAACTATGATTTTTTCCTATATGTCACATTGGCTAAAAAATACAAGAAGGCACTGATTCCTTGAGCTGGCACTAAAACAGCAGTGATGCTGTGTCACCTGCATCACCCTGTGCTCGATGGACACCCCTTCACATGACATAGGCACCCCCAGCATCCTTCACCACGGCCTATGACATCTCTCTAGCACAGAGCAGGCTTCCCCACAGCTCTTCACTGCCCCCAGCCCCCTGTGTGGTGGCGTCACATCATTGATGTTTTCCTGATGATGCTGTTGTGTTTAATCTGACAGGTGAGTCCTTCCCGTGCTCCAAGAAGCAAAAGATGGCACAGGCATGCCTCGGGCACCTGTGCTGCTGAATTCAGTGAGATGCAGAATCAGCCTGGTAAGAGCCACCAGTGCTAATATTGTATTTCCTCACTTTTAAAAAACCTGTAGAGAGATATGGACCAGAATGGAGAAGCAACAGCAATGTGTTTCTCACAACACCTTGCCAGAGTGGGAATTTCGTGTAGCAAAGGTTGAGAACAACTGCAGCACAGAAGGGCTGAACATTTGATCACTGTTCCCATGTCTGTCACAACTACACAGGTGCAGGTGTAAGGCATGTCTGCCGTTATAATCACGTGGTCTCTAAATCATTTACAAACTTCCTGAATCAATCTTGCAAGCCCCTGTGAGGAAAGCAAGCACCTTAGCAGGGAGCCTGTGTCAGCAGAGCAGCAAAGTCATTTGCTCAGACTTTCTCAGGCTCTGCTCTTTTCTCTGAGGGCCAGTAGTTTCCAGCCCTCCTTCAGGCTAAACCTCTCGTTTTCCCTCAAGACTCACCTGTCAGTGCAGCATGTAGAAATATGCTAGGACTATAAAAAGAAAAACATCAGCCAAATTGTTCAGTACTCAAAAAAAATACTAAGCAAAAGTACATGTCTAACCACATGCAAGTGGCTTTATTCATCCATAACTCTGCTTGAAATAACTATCTAAACTCCTCTTGCTCTAATCTGGTGATCACCAAATAAAAATACATTTTTGTCTGCATACAGACAGTAGTTTAACTTGCATTTAGGTTTTTGCTTTTGTATTTATAAGGCCAGTGAAGTTGTGGGTGTGTAACAGTGAAAGGAATTTACTCCAGAATAGTCTGCCTACTACTGTACTTTAAACACCCTTACTGATGTGTGATCCACCACTTGGTTGATACAAAAACATCCCTCTCTACCTGGGCCCAGTCGCCATTTATGCCTCTATGAAGAAGTCTAGTCTTCCCTTCAGGTGAACCACAGCTACATGCTTGGCATGCAGAAGCCCAAATTAATTAAATCCCCTGGGTTATAAAATCATGGAATGGTTTGGGTTGGAAAGGACCTTAAGATCATCTAGTTCTAATTCCCTTGCTATGGGCAGGGACACCTCACACTAAAGCATGTCACCCAAGGCTCTGTCCAACCTGGCCTTGAACACTGCCAGGGACGGAGCATTTACCACTTCCTTGGGCAGCCTGTTCCAGTGCCTCACCACCCTCACAGTAAGTAAAGAACTTCTTCCTTATAGCTAACCTGAACTTCCCCTGTTTAAGTTTAAACCCATTACCCCTTGTCCTATCACTGCAGTCATTATTCTCCTCCCTGGCCCAGAGAAAATCCCCAGAAAGCCAGAGAAAGTCATTCTTACCTCCACTCTGACAAGATGCACCGGATCCAGGAGTGATAAGCCAGGAGAAAAAAAAAGAAATTGAAAAGATATAAGTGACATTTCATTGCCCCCTGTGAGATGTGAGGATTAAGATTTCCATACAAGATTTTCAGACATCTAAACTGTCTGAAAAAGATGCAGCTAAAATCTGTTCTTATTTCATACTTTCTTGTGAGGAAGAATATTTGGGCAACACTGGATGCTGTGCAGGGAGAGGGATTGAGGTGAAGGAGAAGGATTGCTAACTGCAGTTCTTGCTGAGATGGACTGTTGCACCTTAAACTCATACTTTTACCCTTATACTTTGAGTCCCACTTAACTGGCAGGTAGCACCCTTAACTTAAGGCCCCCATGCACCCAGTACTGCAGGCAGCAGATGGATCAGGAGGGAGACACCAGGGCTGCAGGAGATGGGCTACACCAGCATGGAAAGGTGGTGCTAAGCATCTGCCTAGGACTGAGACATCTCTGCCCTGGGACCCCTGGGAGTTGGGGAAACGCTCCTGTTCAGGTCTGGGGGTGCTGCTCCCCTCTTGCTGAGCACACGCAGTCTGGAGGAGATAAGCGCAGCTTCTCCAGCCAACCTAAAACACTTCTTCCTGACTGCATTTGCAGCTCTGCTTCATGGGGAAAACACTTGGCTTGGCTAAAATCAGAAGCAGGGATGTGAAATATAGTATCAAGCACTGAGTCTCTTAAGGGGCAGAGCTTGCTGCTAGGTTTCAATGCCCAGTGTAAAAAAGGTCATGGTTATTTTATCAACAGAGCAGGAGATGAGGCATAGGGAGACAGGCAGGTGCATACCTGCTTAACAGCAGGACCAGGGCTACCACCCCATGTCTGGAGACCTGGATGATTTCTCTTTCCTCTAACTAAACAGCCCTGCCTGTTCCAAGAGAGAAAGCAGAAGCTGCCACACTTGGTGTGACAAATGCTGTCAGCTAGCACAGACTATTTGTATTTCTCCTCTTTGGATCATCCTGTCCCCATCTGGGAGATGCCCCTGGGCATAGAGGTTACCCCGGACATGGTGAGGTACTGCTCTGACAGCAAGCTTCCTGCTTTCTGAATGCAAAGCCCTGGAGAAGTCAAACTTCTCACAAAAACTATTTTCACCTTGCTGTTAGGTGATACCAAGTCTGGGTCATGGCCATGACTTCCTCAACATGGATGAACTTACCAAGTGTGCTTCTGGGACACAAAGTACACGATGGCATCAAGCATTCAGGAAATGACAGCTGTGCCAGCCTCCCAAGTGTAAGAATGTATGAGGAAATAGACTGGGTGGGGGATGCACTTGTACTTAAATTTAGCCCGCTGCACACTATCTAGTCTCCAAGGCTTTCCCTCCTCCTCCCAAGTACTTCACACCCCTTGGTCTCCACAGCAGGGAAGCGACTGCAAGGGTAAAACAATATTGACCCCTTCTTTCCCAGCATACCTGAAACACTGATGGTTGCTGCAGCTTTGGCAGCTCCAAAAGTTTTGCTGTGTTTGTTTGTGGCAAGGCAAGTGAACAAGCCGGGTCGGGTGACATACACCTGCAATCTGGAGTCAACCACTCTGCCCTTGACATTCTCTGCTACAGATCCTGCAGAAACCTAGGAGACCAAAAAGCCCAGTGCGGTGATATTTCCAACAAAGGCAAACAGACAAACCGAGGGAAAATCTGAGACCCAGCCCAAGGCATTTAAATTGGTAGAGAAACACATAGCAAGTGGATAGAACTGGCAAAGAGCTAAAGCTGCTGGCTTTATTTTGGTGCTTTCATACCAGCTGACTTCACATACAAAAGTAAATGTTAAGGACCCCTCCTATTTCACAAGTCAGCAATAATTTTGCAATTAATTTTCTGTTGCAGAAGGCTGCAGTCTTAGTTTTGGTCATGTAATTGAGCTGAATAATTGCTCCAGGGCCTTTTCTAGAAGACTTTGCCTATTCACTCCTTAATAAGGAAGGGCGCAAGGTAACTTTGTGGACCCTGGCTATAGAGAGGGAGAAAAGAAAATAGTTTGAAAGTTGTCAATTCTGGATTAACATAGCCACTGCCACACTTCCAAAGAAAGCACTCTGGCTCCGGCACTTTGGCAGGTATGTGATAGATTTTCTTATCTCACACCTGCAAGTACGGAAGCGGCTGCAGATGTGGTGATTTTGGCTATTTTTCCAGGTCAGAAATTCCAAGGTAAATTATCTTGGAATCTGTTGATTTTGGCCAGTTGTTCTTAATTTTATCCTCAAGCCTGTTCTGCTCATATGGTATTCATTAAAGTACACCAAGAGTCTACCTTGCAAAGGCAGTAGGAAGGAGCAATATTGCCTGTTCTACCCTTCATCCTGATGGAAGGCATTAAGTGTAAGTCCAGCAAGGTGTGGTTACCAGTGCATCCCACCAGTGCATCCCACCAGTGCAACCTGGCCCTAAGAACAGCGATTTCCTTGGATCATCCTAACAAAGCACTCTACTTACACAACTATCTGAGAGGTCAGAGACATCAATTTGACGTCTCTGGAGGTTAATAGAAACATTATTTTAATGTGATATGTGTTTGTTTCCAAAGGTATTAACAGTGATAATTGAAAAAAACATGAAGGGTATCACATCTTTAATAAGCAGGTTTCTCTCTGAGAAGAAAATATTGAAAATAATGTATTTGTTTTGCCTCACTCAAGATTAGCTTGGAGTTCTCGTGGGGAAATGTGATTGTGGAGAAAGCACTATACAACCAGGCCAGCACAGTTTGCAAGTATTGCATCAGGGATGGGTGGGTTAATGTGCAAATGCAAGGACCATGGATGTTTTTTTGCCTTATGTCCTTTCCAAACAACCATCCTATGATTCTATAATTCTGTTTAGGTGGGCAAGGCTGCTGCTCCTGCAGAGGAGTTTGCATCCTCCTCTTCAAAGACAGTTCAATAGCCTCAGCAGATTACCTCTATTTAAACAGATTAAAGGACAATTACAGGTCAGTGTTCAGCAACCATAATGTTGCAGATACATTGCACCTTTTAATGACACTGTTGCTTGCTTGTGAGCCAGCCCTCAAACACACATGCTCCAGTCCACCAGCTTTCTGACCTGACTTACCCAGAGACAAGCACCATTAAGATCTCCTTGCCATATTTAAAATGAGACAGTCTGGAGCACCACCCTCCTTTGACTGGGCTTTGATTTGCAGACAGGAACGGGGCAGATCAGATCTGACCAGCCAGGCAGTGGCCCTGGGCAAGGACTGAGCATCATCCCACACACCACTCTCTGGGACTAGTGCAGTGGTGGGAGATTGGTAAAGCAAGGGTCTGTGCTCCAGAAATACTCTGCCCTTGCCAGTATCACCAGACTCCCCAAAAGTTTTTTTTCTCAATGGGAAAGAAGTCCTGAATGAGCAACTGCAGTTGTCTCAAAAAAATTATCACCAGAAACTACCAAGGATTTATGGGGTTCTGTGGGAGATGATCTGATCTTTTTGCTGTTCTCCCTAGAACCCTTGAAGGAATATAGAAAATCAGGCCTAATCAGACTGGATTACACTGTAAGGCTTAGAGGTGATATGAAGGCAAGAGAGCTGGCAGAGTAGCCCAGGCTCCTTAATAATGTATTTTAAATATATGGAAGGAGGGGACACAGACCTCTTTCCTGGGAAGGAATTTGAACAAGAGGATTTATTGGTGTTGCTGGACAAGCAAATTAACAGGAATGACCATGGCCAGAAGGACTTGGGGGCTGATGGAAGGTCAGTGAGAAAGAGTAGAGGCAAATTGCCAACCTGCACACAGTGGCTGCTCCACCTCCTCCACAACATTATGTCCTGGGGGTTATCCTTAGACAAGCTGTTAAAAGGCCACAAAGAGTACAAAACATGTCCACCATAACCATAGGAAGACTACAGGAAACCTGTGGCAGGCTCAGGCTGCAGAGCTGCTGTGACTGTGTTGCACTACTTACTCCCAGTAAGGCAATATCAGGTGTCAAGCAGCTCTTCAGTTCAGCTGAAGAGAAGGCATTGCAATAGCCTACCTATGGACATGAAAGCCAGACGAGTTCAAAGCAGGCACCTATTTAGAATGGCCAGGAACATTAGACCACAGAGCAATTTCCTGTGAGAAGCAGTGGATTTGCATGTCTTGGTGCCTGTCACTGAAGGGAGTGTATCTTTCTTGAGGATGGGCTTCTAGCCAGGAATAAATTGGTGACATGCTTCAGCGTGTCACCTAGGTCAGTCTAGAAAATTTCAGATCTATTCATCTGCAAATATGCTGTGCATATATGCTGCCCCACAGGAATTTTGCCTCAAGGCAGTTCGCACCACCTAACTACCTCAGTTTGTGTATTTTGTCAAATAATCAATTTTGCCATGTTATTGTTACCACATTAGAGAGGAAAGGTGGCTGCAGAAATACTTAAATGCACAATGGAGTCCTAGAAACCCTGTCTCAGGGGAAGGCTGCAGGCATCTAAACCATTCTTCACCTCAGGCTTCTCAGACCATAACACTAACCCACGCAACACTCTGGAGAAGGGGGAGAGCTTTGCAGAGGAGAAAACTGTAGCAGGGAGGCGAGATGGGCTCAGCTTGATTGCACAGCAAGGCGCTAAATAAGGCAGGAATAGAAACCACATATGCTGGCTCCCAGCCTTGCGTTTTAATCGTTGGGCTGTGCTTCCTGCTGCTAGCAGCCCTCCAGGGCAAAATGCATGAAAAAAAAGGAACTTACTGCTTTCCCATTTTCCAGCCAGGTGACAGTGGGGACTGGAAGGCCGGTTGCTGAACACTGCAATGTCACCACAGACCCGAAGGTGATATTTTGGGATTCAGGAGCCTTCAGGATTCTGGCAAAAACTGCAGGAGAAGACAAATGTGCTAGTTGAACAACACTGTAGAGCTGAAGCTGTGCTGCCATGGGGATGCTCCTTCCCCAGCAGGCCTTGAAATAAGCCCCGTGAATAAAAGCAGAGCATAGCACAGGCTTCCCGCTGAGTGATAGGTTTTGGGGATGGATGAGGAGGAGAGAGAAAGTGATTAGCATGGGTTTGTTCTGCACCTTACAGACCAAAATTTTACCTCTGGAGGTTTTTACATCACCTGAGTTTGATGCCTCAGAGGATGCAATGTGCAAAAAACTCAAGGGCAAAGTTGTTGGCAGCATGCAGATGGGACAGCTTACAGCAAACACACAGCAAGCTACCATACTGCCCTGCCAAGGGTCACCTCATGTGAAACTTCTTCAAAATCATCAAGGGGGACCATTGGCATGTCACGTACCATGAAATTTAAGGGTCAGATAAGCTCCTCAGTGTGACCACAGTGATTAGAAGTTACCATGGAGAGCTGCAAACCCCAACATCTTCCATGCCACAACAACCTACCCTAAGGGGAGAGAGTCCAGCACTGGGTTTTGGGGGAATGGCTGGCAATGACTTTAGGAAGATACAGTTGCAGGGGGAAATAGGTTTTTAAAGTGGCTTTCCATTTCTACAGCACTTGCTTTCTTTGTGGACAGTTTGAAGACAATCATGCCCTGGCACCGATTTTTTTCTTTTTTTTTTTTGGGGGGGGGGGGGGGGGGGGGGAGGGGGGTGCGGGTGGGGGGATGTGTGAGAAGAAGAACTGAAGTATTTTTGCTTAAAACTTATTTCAGTCCAGAAACACAACTCTGATGGCCTTCACAAGCTGTATTTCAGCTGCTGTACTTGGACTACACAGAGGAAAGCAGACGAGAGAAATATTTTTCAAGTGGAACATTTGAGTTTTGACTCAAACTTTTTAATGGAGATACCTGAATGTCTGTGCAGAAGCAGGCTGAAAACTCTGTACAATTTCTTACTCCAATTTCACCTGCTTAGTGAGTTAACATTTGCTCCCTTCTTTCTGGGCTGCACAGCAGTAACTAGAAATCTCCATCAAAAATTTTATTATGCAGGGGAGTTTCTCTTGGAGTTCTCAGACAAGCATGATTACCATTTTAACCACATTTGCTGTCTGTATGGTTCCCCTTTACTCAGCGCACCTCTTGGCACTGGCCACTGGTTTCTCTCAGGTGGAAATCTCCAATGCAGAGTGATTAGAAGACCAATAAGTGTCCCTTCAGAAAATGAGTATCTGTACCCACTATTTGGTATGATGGAAAGGTTTTATCTGCAAAATTTCAGTTGGAAAAAAAAAGTTATCTGCTTTCCACATAGTCCTTCCACCCAGTCCTGGCCTGGGAAGGGGCTGAGATTCATGTTAACAAAGAGCTTTTGTTCATAGATAGGCAACACTAAGAGTACATTTCAGTGTAGAAACTGTTTTGGCTTAGGAGCACAGCCACTCAAGGGGGTCCTGGGAAGGGGGTTTTAGTCAGTGAAGTGAAAAGAGTGGGAAGATATGTATTATATTCAGCTCCTAAATTGCTCCACCGTCTTCGAGCAGTCCCTCACTGTCAGTGCTTGGTGCCACTTGCTTAAAATCAAAGCAGAGCTGCTTTGGGGCCTGCTGAAACCCCCTCCCCCTCAGAAAGACAGCAGGTACAAAGCTCCACCACTAACAAGGAAAGCTGCAGCCACTGGCCGGGAAGTTTCATCACAAATAATAAGTGAAATGAAAGCTTTGCCTGAAGTTTCATTTCAGGCCATTAACACCAGATGGTTATGAATTCAGCCCTGAGTGCTCTGGGCCAAGCTCATAATTACTTTTATATTTCAGTCAGAGAAATACTAAACTTCTGTGCCTCTCCTGGCAGCCTTGATGTGCATATGGTTCCCACTGAAGCCAGCATGTTAGCTCCCAGAGCCAGAATATGTCCCTTAGTGCTTTTCTCATGCTGCTGCTGGTTTCTTAGTGTACTGCTGGGACCCTGCCTGCCTGACAACCCTCCTGCTCACATCTTGCCCAGCTTCATTAACACCGAGAGAAGTCCTCTAGCAGCACCCTGTTAGCAGGTGCCAGACACAGGCGCGTATGCCCTCCTCTGTACCAGCTGCTCTCCCAAAATCTGTAAGGATCTTTCAGCCAGGAATTAAAAAAGGCACGTTTTGAAGATGATGGTAGTTGCACAAGCAGGGACCAAAGCTACAGGGATCGTGGCAGCTAATCCAGCTCATGCACGCGAAAGCTGCATCCCACTTCCCTGGGTCCTCCTGCCAGCACTAATCATGGAACTAGCTTTAGTAATTCACCACACTGCTGATAAGAGTGCTCATTTGCCAGCCTAGGGAAAGCAAATGGTCAGGCCATTCACACTTAAAACACAAAATACAGGGACTGTGTGCAATTCTGGTGTCCTCAACATAACAAGGACATGGAACTGTTGGAGCAAGTCCAGAGGTGGGTCACAAGGATGATCAGGGAACTGGAGCACCTCCCGTATGAAGACAAACTGAGAAAGTTGGAGGAGTTCAACCTGGTGAAGAGAAAGCTGAGTGGAGACCTCATAGCAGCCTTCCAGTAGCTGAAGGAGGCCTACAAGGATGCAGGAGAGGAACTCTTCATCAGGTATTGTAGTGACAGGACAAGGGGTAACGGGTTCAAACTTAAACAGGGGAAGTTCAGGTTAGATAAAAAGATATTACTCTTTAAAGATATTATTATAATATCCTATTTATATTTATTGTATTAATGTAATTAATAATAAATATAATTAATATAATTGATATAGTAATAATTACTATTATTATATTATTTATATTATATTATCCTATTTATCATTCTTTTAAGGATATTATTCTTTACTGTGAGGGTGGTGAGGCACTGGAACAGGCTGCCCAAAGCAGTGGTAAATGTTCCACCCCTGGCAGCACTCAAGACCAGGTTGGACAGAGCCTTGGTCAACATGGTCTGGTGTGAGGTATCTCTGCCCACAGCAGGGAGGTTGTAACTGGATGATCTTAATGTCCTTTCCAACCCTAACTATTCTGTGATTCTATGATTCTGTAAAAAATCCAGTGACAGCTACTAAGCATTCACATGTTACTTTTCCGTAGGGAAGATATTGCAGGTGTATTATCCAGCACAAGGAGTGACAGCTAGAAAAAAAACCTGGACCCTTCAGGAAATAAGCTGATTTCCAAAATGTCAAAGAATGGAAGTTCCTGCTATCTCCAATGCTACTGTGTGTATTTCTAGGACTTTCAAAGTTGAAGTTGCAGATGTAATACTTTAACATTTCAAGTGCTTACACTTGCATGGATTTTTTTAAAGTAAACTTTAGCTCTTTAACTGAAGTACTTAGCTCTAGATACTGTGAATTGAACAACCTGGGGTCTTTTTACTTTATTTTATTTTTAAGTGAGAAATTCCCTCGGACAAAGGCTGGACTCTGCACTTCCAGGCATGCTTTGGGCCGCCACTGACCAGCACACTCAGGGACATATTCTCCAAAAAAAGAAATTGCTTGGGAAACATTGTTTAAAAAAAAAAAAAAAAGGAAAAAAAAAATCAGATCTTTCTCAGTCCCATCATCTATGGGTGGATGACAGACACATTGTTGCTGCTGGCAGACTCAGCTGCTGTGGGAAAGCCAGGATGGGCTGCATGAGAGCAGCCAGTGTCACCTTGTACCAGTGCAAAGCTGGGTAAGACCGCCAGGATGAGCTTGGGGTCCATTTTTGTGACTACATCAGCAAGGAAATCTGTCCTATAGGTAAATGGAGGAATCCAGCTCCCAAAACGCTGACTTTCTTTTCTGACACTATATTACACAAAGAAAAGAGGGAAAATTGAGGAAGAAAGATCAGCCCTGATGTTGCCAACCTAAGCAACCAGCTGGGAGAAGCAGGTGAAAGACAGGAAGAGGAAGAACAGGAAATTTCAGTAAGTGTTTGCAAAGTTCATGTTATTTGGTGGGCTCAGGACATTGCTTTGTTTTCATTTTGCCTCAGAATGAAAATTCCCCCAAAACAGGTGAATTTTAACACCTCTTTTCCAGATCCTCATGAAAGTAGATTTTGCCAGGACCTTTGCTTGTTTAGCTACATCATCACAAGGTTAACAACATTCACATCAAGACACCCAGGCTCTCAGTGAGGGGTTTACCCAAGGGCATGCCAAAAAGCAGTTAGGGGAGGCAAGCAAAGAGGGCTTCATTGATTTATTTATTCAAGTGGAAAACAAAACAGTGGAGCTGGAAATGAAACCCAACAGCTAAGAGCCAAGCCAGCACATTCAGTTTCACTCCTAAGCCCCTTAATAAATGTCCTTTCTTTTACAGCCCTGCTAAATGATGTGCTGTGCACTGCAGGGCTTGCTAGGAGGTATCTGCACCATGGCCAGCTGCTCTCGTTTCTGAGAATTAGGTAACATCATCCAGTCCAAATAGTCCGGCTTTATTTCAGTCACAAAAATTTTATACTATAAAAAGATGAAAGCAGGGCCCCTGCCCAGCCCCCAGTTTGAACAGCTAACTTCTTCCAGGTGACTTTGTTTTCCTGTTGCCTTTGACTGAGCTGTGTTTCATTTCCACAGTTTGGGGCCTGATCCTGCATTCCTAGCATATGCCTGCCCTCTAACTGGGTAAGGCCTGTTTTTCTCCTAAAGCAGGCTGGATTGGGCCAATCACATCCAGGCAGCAGCCTGGGTGGCCTGGGGCCATGCTGCTTTCAGGAAAAGGCGCCCTTTGGAAACCCTCATGCATACAACCCCACTGCAGGAAGATGCCCCATCTAGCCAGGGTTTCATAAACCTTAATGCTGGCTTTGATGCATCAGGCCCAGTCAAGTAACTAGGCTGTGGGGTGGGGGTGGTTTCCAGAGCCTCTTCTGGCTTCAGTGAACCTTGACTTTCAGAGAATATGTGCAACGTTTGCCAAAGTACATGAATTAACCCAGCCTGTCAACATCCATGTGCAGTCATATTTAAGTTTG